TGATGAAATGGTTGATTGGTTCTTTTAGTTCTTGTTTAGGTGATCTGGCAAATCATGTTGAGTGCAATGGTGATTTTATCATTGTATCTAGATGGATTGATAGGGGACCGTAGTAAATTTTTTGCAGCACCTGGCCATGTGAGATTTTGTTTCCCATGCCTACAGTTTTTACTCTTAATTTGATAGGAAAATTTTGTTTCAAAGCTTCAATCTTCAGTAGACTGGTTTCTACTTTTATCTATATTTCCTTTTCTAAATTGCTGCATTTTGATTTGGCTTTTAAGTAAAAAAGCTTTAAGTATGGGGCAATAGGGGCACTGCCCCATAATATTCTCGTCATGTGAATGGGTTCAATCCATGAAAGCAATGTCCTATTTCTTCTCTTTAATTCCCCCAAAAATCATTGCTTGGGATTTGCAATCCTTAGAGTGTGAACTTAGGGAACAGAAAAGTTGTGGTTTGAAGGTTAGTTCCATTTACTGAGGACAAATTGCATCTACTTCTGGCCCAGAGAAAAGGGTATCAAGACGGGCAGTATCGAAGAGTAAAGCAGAGTGATGATAATTCTAATTATATCTTTTGGAAAGATGAAAATCCCAACAACATGGGTACTTTTTATTTGTTATCAAGTACTAACAAAATATCAGCATTACTTTTCTGCAAATGTGAGGATGCTTGTTAATTAAAATGCTACAATGGGCCCTCCTAAGTCCTAACACTGAAACTCTTAATCTTTCAGGGTCGGTTGATATGGCTGAATGCTAGTATTGATAATGGGCAAGCATTGGGTTAATGCAGATACCATGGTGTTCTGATGTAATACTCTGAGCAAGTCTGAGACAATTGTGGCCCCTTTCGTCCAAAATCAAAATCTCTGCCAAACCTCTATTTGCTTTTTCATCAATTCCATGATATGTGTTTTTAATCATACCTGCTTTATTACCCTACAAAGATTAAGTTGTGTTATTCTGTGCATAAGATGCTGAGTTTTTTTTGTTTTTTTCTTCAATTTATAAAAGTGGCATTATGTTGCCTCAAAATAAGAGTTTCTTTTCCTTATTGACCATCTTTGTTTGTTTCTGTTTCAAAAACTGCGGGGGCAAAGTTTAAAGGGTAAAGATCAATTTGATTTAAAGTGAGTAAAGATTATAGAGTTGTTATTCTAACAAATTGAAGGTGATTTGATGATTATTACTACTAAAATTAGTTTCTGTAAAAGATTTTACAATGTTTGTACCAATGATGAGATTGTGTTTTGACCGAGTCAGATGCTAATCCGTAACATTCCTATCCAATTTCCAATTAATCCATGCCACCACCTCACGCTCCAATGGCACGTGGAAATAACTAGACAAACAAATGATGTTCTGATAGTTTCAAGCTTTAAAAGGAGTAAGTTTCTAAATAAATAAATAAATAAAAAGGGGAGATTTGAAATCACATAGGAACCAAGAATTTTATAAAAATGAGATCATAAACCTACATTACATGATTTGTTTGCAAACACATTAAAATTTTTATTTATTTAAAACGTGTTTGATAGAGTTTAAAAGTAAAATTTTTTATAAAGTTTTTGTTATAAATTTAAAAATTTGTTAAAAAATTTAAAATTAATTTTTAAGTAAAATTTAGGAAAGTTATACATCTTAATTTTTCTAAAATTTATCTAAAAAATCAATTATTCAGTTTAAAAGTTAATTTTTAAATTTACTTTTAATAAGTTTTCCAAATTAAATTTGGAAAGAAAAAAATTCTCTCTTGAAGCAACACCTAACACCCTCCTACGCTATTTATGTGCCATATATGTGAGTATATTATTTAATTTTGTTTAAGGTAGTAATAGCATGACATTTATTAACCGCCTGAAAAAACAAGTATGACATTTATTTATTTTTGCATATTGTTGAGCAAGCAACGAGAGGTAGATGCGCGTGGTGGTGGTGGTTCCCTTAGTTTGCATGGGATTCCAAAGGCACGTGGAACCAGTCCACAAAACAGGCTGTCCAAAACGGCTTAAATGGGTCCCAACTTAGGGGCCTTAATAACCTTTTTGCAGTAATCCAGGCTCCAATGATTAATGACCAGATCCATGCCTCTCATTTTCCCCATTTTGCCCCTCGTTTTTTGGACTAATTATTTATTTAGCCCAGTCCAGCCAGCATAGTGAAGAATTTTTATTTTTTTTTGGAACATAATGAACAATTTATTTACTATGATGTAATAGTAATGTAGATATTCCAAACCTTGAGTTAGGGTCACACTTAATTCAACTTGTGCAGCTTTATACTATTATTGTTATTTAAGTATTATTTATTTATTTACTTATTATTATTTAGTTATAGATAGTGTCGTATAATGGCATTCTTGCAAATACTCTTAAAAGTCTAGGTCATTTACGATCACTGCCGAGATTAAAGATCCAAAACCAAACATGTGCAAACCTGCATTATTAACAAAATTCTTCACCTTCAGGCTTACCTCTTTCTCTCGCAACACATACATACACTAACACTACCCAGTCGACAGTCCCCACTTGGCTTTTCCTCTGCAAGAAAACAAAGGCAAGCCATTAATGCAGCACTTGAATGCCTTATCACTCTGTCTCTATCTCCTGTTCGGCACCTTCAACTACCATCCTCTATTGTCTACTCCAGTAACCCATCTATTTAATTTCGTTCACATTTGTAGAGGTATACATGAGGAACGATTCTCCTACCTCTCTTAACTTCTACCTATATTGACATTTTAAAGCTAGTACTTTTCTTTATTGAAGGTCCTTGTTTCCTAGTTGCTTTCTGGGTTGTTGTTTGTTTTCATAGAAAGTGCCTGGAAAGTGGAAATATCAGAGATAAGATAAGATTTTTTTGATTTTTTTCTACTAGAAGTTAGTAAAGCTTCTATCTTGGCTTTCCTAGTAAGGGCTTTTTTCTTCTTATTCTTCAGCATTTGCTTGGGTTTCAGCTTTTAATATTGCTTCTTCAGCAAAAGCCTGTGATTAAGCAGGATTTGAAGTCATTCCCTGGTGCTTCTTGGGGTTGTACAATCTCAATCTTTCAGGTACTAGCATTGCCTGTTGTGGATTTTTTAGACTTGAAAAGTCTTGGAAAAATACGGGTATGCTTCAGTTTCTTCCAATTTAACTGTCCTGCTTTACTTCAGAGGCTGTTTCACCCTTTGTGAAATCTGCCGTTGTGTGCTTCATAAATTTTTTTCATGGGAAATTTTTGCTTGTTTGCTCTAGCACTGTTTTCGTGGTCCTTCTGTATCCCAATTACTTATGGATTGCAAACCTATCAAAGTGAACTTCTGCTGCAATTAAGAAAACACTTAGAGTACCCTCCACAATTGGAAATATTGGATAATTACAATGGAGAACTATGTAGCTCATCTTCAAGTGCAAATTTTAGTATCTCATGCCAGGAAAATTCTGTCGCTGAGCTCAAGGTTATGGGAGATAAGCTTGCCAATGTTAGTGAATTCAGTGGACATGCAATTCCAGGTGTAACTCTGTCTGAGAGTTTCTCCATTGATTCTTTCATTACCACGTTGACAAGGTTAACTAGCTTGAGGGTTCTCAGCCTAGTGTCTTTAGGAATTTGGGGGCCACTCCCTGATAAGATTCACAGGCTTTATTCACTAGAGCTGTTGGACTTGAGCTCAAATTTCATGTTTGGTTCTATCCCTCCTCAGATATCAAGAATGGTTAAGCTTCAGACACTTATAATAGATAGGAATCATTTCAATGATACTATTCCCCGTTCTTTAGGTTCGTTACCAAATCTTACTGTTCTGAGTTTGAGGGTCAATCAGTTGAAGGGTCAGTTTCCTGCTTCTATAAGCAGAATATCAAGCCTAACTGATATTGCATTGTGTCACAATGAGCTTTCTGGTAAACTGCCTGATTTGAGTACTCTAACTAGTCTCCGTGTTCTGGATTTAAGAGAGAATCAATTAGATTCTGCACTGCCCTTAATGCCTCGAGGGTTGGTTACAGCTCTCCTTGCTAAGAATTCATTCTCTGGTAACATTCCTGAGCAATTTGGCAATTTGGGTCACCTCCAGCACCTTGATTTATCATATAACCATCTCAGTGGAGCACCACCCTCTACCTTGTTTGCTTTGCCAAACATCAGTTATCTGAATTTAGCATCCAATAGGCTAAGTGGTTCACTTCTAAAACATTTATCTTGTGGTAGCAAACTTGGATTTGTTGATATCTCTAACAACAAGTTGAAAGGTGAGCTTCCTTCTTGTCTGGATGATATTTCTGATAAGAGAGTAGTTAATTTTGGCTGGAATTGCTTATCTGTCAATGCCCAACAGCAACATAAAGGGCCATATTGTAAAGATGTTAATAGAAGGAAAAAACACAGTGGGAAAACAGTACTAATTATTGTTGTTGTGGGGGCTGTCCTCCTTCTGGGGCTTTTGGGATTTGGGGTTCTTGTTCTGTCTGGAAGAGGCTGTTCAAAAAGGACATTTGAAACGCATATACGTCAAAAGGTTGTGCAAGACACTTCCAAAACAGGTGTTTCTTCTGAAGTCCTTGCAAGTGCTAGTAAGTTGCACAAACACCATAGAACTTTCTGTTATTTCCATACCAAATCCAAGATATGTCATTCTTTGTGTAATTCTTCTTTCATATTCTGCAAACTTGGTAGAAATTTCATTGAGTTTGCTTCTTTTTTGCTTTAATTTTGGTTATACAGGATTCATTTCTGAAGTTGTGATGCTAGGGACACAGGGCAGTCCAGCATATCGAATGTTTTCATTTGAAGAGTTGAAGGATGCCACAAACAACTTTGATTCATCAATGCTTGTGGGTGAAGGCTCTATCGGGAAGGTATATTTGAACTGAAAGTGCTTCAAATTTAGATGACTTTGCTCAGTCAATAAAAGGGATATCAAATTATCTAGTTTATGTTGATCTTGAGACACTTGTTGAGCATCCTAACCTTCGCTTTTTGTTAGAATCAAGTGTGGAAACTTTTGGCTTAGATCTCTCCTTTTCTTTTGTTCTTTTGAAAGTTTGCCAATGCCAACTTGCTCAAGCCATGTTTATTGATGAACATACTGAATATTGATTGGCCCCTTGAATGGGATCCTCTTTCCTTACTGGGTTTGGTTGACTACCAATTTTGTTTCTCCTTTTCAGCTTTACAAAGGAAGATTGGAGAATGGGACCTATATTGCCATACGATCTTTGACTTTATTGAAGAAACATTCAATTCAGAATCTCAAAGTTAAGCTTGATTTTCTTTCAAAGCTTCAACATCCACATTTGGTGAGCCTCTTGGGTCACTGCATTGAGGGTAGTGGACGAGATGATTTCAGTGCAGACAAAGTCATCCTTGTGTATGAATATGTGTCTAATGGGGATTATCGTACACATCTATCAGGTCAGTCATCCAGTATGTCTTTTCTAATATATGCATGCTCATCTACTTAAAAAGGCCAGCATGTTGTTCTTCTTGTTTTTTTCAAATCTGTTAGTCTAGATGCTAAGTATAGAAGCTCAGCACTAGCTGGAGCTCATCTTTATACTTGCTGACTGTAGTTTATGAACAAAGAGACTAGTAATGGCAGGGGTTAGCAGCATGGGTATTCTGCTGATGTCAGAGTTTGACCCTGCTAATGGACTAGCTATAAACTCACAGCTTTAACAAACTTATTAATAATTAATGTTGATTGGATGCTAACAACCTCAAATCTGGAGATATGTGCAGAAAATTGTCCAGAGAAAGTTCTTAATTGGGCTGATAGATTGGCAGTTCTGATTGGTGTTGCCAAGGCTGTACATTTTCTACATACTGGGGTGATTCCTGGTGCTTTCAATAACCACTTGAAGACAAATAGTATATTGTTAGATGAGCACCGGATTGCAAAACTGAGTGACTATGGGACGTCCATCATCACAGAAGAAAATGAAAAAATAGAGGTATGTTTCCTAGCTGTTTTACCTCATTTACGTGGAAATGGTAGTTTGATTCTAATTGATTATCCTGGCTCAATTTATTTTCTCTGCAGGCAAAGGGTGAAGGCTCACAGTTGAGGTATCAACTTTACTGTCAGATTTTATAGATGTTTATGAACAAAAAACCAATTATCAGCATGAGCTTCCAGTTACCACCTTTGCCATTACTGCCATAATGGAACACAGAAGAATTTCTCTGCCTAAACCTGATGAAGTGTTGAAAATTTTTGTTTATCAGTCTA